GCCTTGTAGAAAGTTCTAGCTGCTGTCTATCTTTTACACTCATGGCAGAAAGGCAACTGTAGTCTGCCTAGCAACCGTTACATAACTTTGTATAACTTTTCTGATTGGCGAACATGGCCACTTAACAAACATAATGATCACAACAAAACCCACATCCAAATTATGAAGAAAAACAGGCTGTTAAACTGGGTATAACACTACTACCAGGGATATTATGAGAATGGTACTGACCCAGTAAACAAGACTATTAGAGGTTATTTCATTTTTATTTAATTTTTTAAACTGTGTTATTTGAATTTGCATTATTTTGCAAGAATACCTGGAATAAGTATATTAAACCACTAATATCTCTAAAGAAAATTTTCAATTAATAATATGAGTTGCTGTCAGAAAAAAATAAAGTTAAAGCACAGGTATTAAGCTGCAAAGATGACTCCTGGATTTTCTCTGTAGGTGCAGTACGGGTAGGAATTGTTGATGGGCAGCTTGTTATTAACCCAACTAGAAAAGAAATGTCATCTAGTCTGTTGAACTTAGTGGTTGCTGGAGGCCCTCAAAGTCAGATAGGTAAGTGGTTAAATTATTCAAATCGGGGCAGGGGCTAGTTGAAGGAAGTTAATGCGTTCTCATCTTTTAATTGTAACTAGAAACATTTCCTTTCTATAGAATAAAATAAGAATAGTTGCAACATGTTTTTCTTTTTTTGATTTGTCTGAAATGCTTTTACTGAATAACTGAGACTTAAATCTATTTAGATAAATCTTAACTTGAGCCAACTGCTTCCTTATTTGGATTTCATCTTGAACTTACTCTACTTTATAACTACAATTAATGTTTAGATTGTATTTATATTATTTTAGATTTTTTTTATCACAACTTTATGTAATCATGCTGTTCTACATAATCAGATTGTGTGACAGTTAAATGCACATTCTGCCCATTAGCTTATATTGGGGCATTTTTTTCCTGTAAATTGCATTGTATGGAATTTCTCTGCACTGAGTCGCATGTAAATTAAAATTATTCTGTAATCTTCCTATTAATGTTTGCATAAATCCAATGTCTTGGTTTCCATAAAACACTATTTCTATTATAATGTTTGGAAATAATAGAATCAACCTGATGGAGAACAAAGCAACCAAGCCATTGTTATAAATTTTAACAAATCACTCTTTCAGATCATTCTCTTTGTGATAGGTACAATTTAATTGTTTGTTCTATAAGGGTTGAAAAGCATAATGATTAATTGGCTTAAACTTTGATTTGTAGTCATGTTGGAAGCAGCAGCTGACAATGTACTGCAGCAGGACTTGTGCCATGCCATCAAAATTGGGTTGAAGCATACCCAGCAAATAATTCAAAGTATCCAACACATGGTGAAAAAACAGGGAACTGGCAAGAGAGCTGTTGAGACTGTATTTGTTGCTCCAGCAGAAATTGTGGAATATGCAAAAGAGTAAGTACAACAAAGCAGTTCTGCTTTGAAGTGTGCCCTTTAACTAACCTGAGCTGTTACAAAAGAAGGTGCCATGCATCACCTAAAGAGCCAAATTGGGAAGCGGTTGTGGCAGGACACACATACTTGCTGTAGCTCTTCCCAGTCCAACCCTGTCCAGTGTCTCCCAAAACAGAAGCATGCAGGACATGTGGAACTGTCTTGCATGCTTCTGTTTTTGCTATGGAAGTCAGAACTGAAGGGAAAAGCAGCTGCAGCAGAAAGGTGTACCTGCCTGTATTATGTTCATAGATTCTAGAGTCGGAAAGGACCTCAACAGATCGAGTCGAACCCCCTGCCTAGGCAGGAAAGAGTGCTGGGGTCAGATGCCTATCCAGCCTTCTCTTGAAGACCCCCAAGGTAGGGGAGAGCACCACCTCCCTTGGAAGCCCATTCCAAATTTTGGCCACCCTTACCATGAAGAAGTTTTTCCTGATACCTAGCCTAAATCTGCTCTCTGTCAGTTTGTGACCATTGCTCCTGGTTACCCCAGGAGGTGCCCTGGTGAACAGAGCATCTCCGATCCCTTGCTGCATCCCCCTAATGAATTTGTAGGCAACTACAAGATCACCTCTCAGCCTTCTCTTGTGGAGGCTGAAGAGGTCCACGTCCCTCAGTCTCTCCTCATAGGGTTTGTCCTGTAAGCCCCTAACCATACGAGTGGCTCTCCTTTGGACCCTCTCAAGTGTATCAACATCCTTCTTGTTATGCAGGTAGGCATGCCAGGAAGTGCTGCAGCAGAAATGGCTTGGCTCTAATATGCCCCCTGAAAAAGGGAGGCACGTGACACAGTTTTAGCTGGTGGCAGCAGCATTTATTTTCAGGCTGCCAGCACCATGGGGTGAAACTGCTCTGGGCGCTTCCAGTTTTCAGGAGGAATGTTGGTGCCAAACTGGGAAGAGCCACAGCAGAAACAGCACACATGCTAGCATCTGTAGTGCAGGCAGGCTCACCTTTCTGGTGAAGTTGTTTTGTCAGGTCAAGTCCAGCATGCTTCCTGAAAAGAGGGGCACCAGGCTATTTCACTCTGCAACAGTGGCAGCATTGCAGCGCCCCTGACAGGTTCTTGCACCATCCCAGTTGAGAAGCATTGGAGATGAGCTTCTCTTTGAAAACAGAAAAATATAGGAACTGGTCATTCCAGGGCTTCTAAACATATAAAAGATGTCTTTTTTTGTTGTTATAAATATCCAGATGACCCGCACTTAGTTTCATTGCCTTTTTTTCAGGGACTCATTCTTTTTATTATGTTACTTAAATATTTTTGACAGACAATGACAACTACAAAGAACTTTTCCAGTTTGAATTTGCACCAACCTTATAGATTTAAAAATTTAAATTTAAAATTCAAATCTAAAATTTAAGTTTAAAAACTATTAACCAAAGCATGCAATGTTAATGTGAACAGTTTTTTTCTAAATTTTATTGCGACAAAATGTTAGTGAAATAGTGTTCTAAATAGACCAAGTTTCAACATGGAACAGGTGTGCGTGTGAATCCTAGATATACTATTGTATTGGGGGAAATGTTACACTTATAGATATAAGTTTAAATAAAATTTTTATATAGATGCATGTGTGTAAAATAAAGTTTAACATGTTTAGATATATTACAAAATATTTGTTACATATTATAATAAAATATATGTATATAATATCAAAGATGCAGTGCTAAAATCTCTGATCATTTAGTAATCTTTAATCATAGTTCCCCTCAGAGTATTAGATACATTCATGTTCCTATTTTACTTAACCTTTGTGTAATTTGAAAATTATTTTTTTTGTTTTCTAAAAGACTTGCATCTGATAAGCTACGTGAAGTGTTTAAAGATTTTAACCATGACAAAGTAAGTAGTGACACCAAAATCTGTTTATTTAAACAAATCACATTTGTGTTGGTTTTCTGAATTTTTCTCAACTAATTTGTTTAAATTAAGTTTACTTTCCCCTTAATGACAGCTCCTTAAGAAACAATTGTCATTAGACTAACTTTAGTTCTGCTGTGCATTGCTTATGCAGTAATACATGTGACTTGGTTTTTCTTAATTTAGTTACTTTCATAGGGGCTGAGATTTGTACTCTGCAGAATGCTATGGTTCTTTGTGCTTGAAATTCCATTGTTATCAATGTTCATTATGTTGCACTGCTATAATAATGGATCACAAATTTTGTGTTTTAGATTTCTCGAGATGAAGAAATTAACAAGATAAGACTTAAAACAGAAGAACAGCTGAGAGGTATTGTACTAATGTTTAGGGAGTTAAAAGAACCCTATTTAGATTCTGAGCTATTCATTGTAGCATTTGCCTAGGCATAAGTGGGCTCTAGTATTGATTGAGGTCTGTAAGTGTGACCATGCTATAAAGTTAGATTTTTTTTGTTTAATTTACATTTCGTACAAAAAAAAAAAGCCTGCTTTTGTTTGTCTTCATGTTCCTAGAAGATGTATATGGGGTCTCGGGAATGTTTATTGTAAATTTTATACTGTCATTAAAGGGCTGTCAGGGAACTGAGTCTCTTAAGTGAGGCTTCCTTTATCTTAAATATTACTCGTAAATATTACTCGTAAGTAGGGATCTCCAGAATTTGCATGAGAAGTGCACAGCATGGCAGCTCCTTTAATCTTGGAGTTTCCCACATGCACCTCTCTGCCACTGATGGCAGAGACACCCAATTGCTTGCCACCTGTGCCTGATGGCTGGCAGGCAAAAACTGCAGCTCCAGTTTCAGGTGTGGGCAGCAAGTGACAAGGCCCCTCTGCCAGTCAGTGGCAGGGGAGTGCATGAAGGGAACTCCAGATTAAAGAAGCTGCAGCGCCATGCACAAATTCCAGAGATCCTTACTCATAAGTTAAATACATTTTAATAAAGTTTTTAAATATCTGACTAAAATTCCCTACCCTACAACTTACACTTCTTGGCTCTTACACCATTATTCACTAACTCCCTTGTTCTCCCACGGGCCAAATAGAATGACCTGGCAGGCCGCATGCAGCCCACAGGCCACATTTTGCCCACCTCTGGCCTAGGATCAGAGTGCTGAACGGTTAGCAGTTAATGGTCAGGTAATCAGAATGTGGATAACTGCTGGAAAAAAATTTCCCCTACTTTCCCTGTTGATAAGGAGGGAGGGGAAATGTGATAGAAGAAATGTATCCTTCTTCCTCTGCTGTAGCCTCCTGTTCTGAAGGCGAACACAAGAAAAGCTACTGAGCAAAAAGGGAGTGGATTGTACAGCTCATGTTTTCTCCCTTCCCATGTTAAAAATGAAAGCTCTGCATTTGTTCATAACCATAGCAAGATATGAAAGCTTACCCAAATCTCCAGATTGTAGAAGTGTAAGGTAGGGTCTCTCTCATCTTACTGACATGGGACCTGCTGAGCCCTGGACTGGCCCTGCTACAATTCATTAATTGTTAACTTACTAAAAAGTGTTGTCTTTCCATAGGAGTAGAAAGCTAGAATCTACTTATCCTTCCTTTTAGCAGCTTAAGGGATCAGTGGACCTAAAACTGTGGGGCTGCTGGTGTTAGTCTCGCAAGGGGGATGATGGCTCTGCATCTGGTAATAGATGTGGAAGCCACTTCTGTGACTTGAAATAATTTTGCTATTTAGAAGAGTGCTCCAAATCATGTACAATATAAAGTCAATGTGCATGTTTAATTATTGAAAGTTAACAAGAGTTATGCCACTTACCTTCCAACTTCAGTTCTAATTTTTTTGTTATGTCTAGAAAAATTTCCAGAGGCTGAGCCTTATGCAATTATGGAATCCTTCAGTGTTGTTTCAAAGGATGTTTTTAGGACCCTTGTTCTGAATAACTACATAAGGTAAATGTTTTTGAGTCCTTTCTGAATGAATTGTTCTCAAGGAGATTTTTTTCTATGACTAGTTTTTTTTACTTTACAATGTATTTTATTGCTGTAGGTGTGATGGTAGAGACCTGACTTCTCTCAGAAATATCAGCTGTGAAGTGAACATGTTTAATATGCTCCATGGGTCTGCATTATTTCAGAGAGGTCAAACTCAGGTAACATTTTGTAATAATAGAAATCAGAGAGAGTTGTCAAACTGGAAGTTTCCGCTAAGTAATCAAATAATTATGTGAAAACCCCTGTCATACTCACCAATCTGTATTAACTATCCTGCATACTGTCCTACACACTTTACTTGCAACCAACCTGCATTAACTATCATGTACACTATTTACTTTCAATTTAAAAATTGTTGGGTACTTTTAGAATAGGCTATGCAGAACTAAACTGTTCACCAAGCAGTAGAGACTTAAAAATCACTACCAAATATACTTGATTAGAAAACGATTCCATTAAACAGAATCCTGTAACATCTAAATCTCTGAAGAAGACTCAGTAACCAACCTCATGGGAGTATCCATGCATGCAAGCGCGTACGCTTGCAGCAGCTCAAATAGAAATGGTGCAAATATGAGCCTGGGCTTTTTGCCTCAGCGCACATGCTTGGACATGCACTTCGTTGTGGAGCAAATTGTGCTACTGGGGGCAAAATAACCCTGCCTGGCTCCTCTCGGATCTGCAGCCAGGGGGAGCCAACACCTGTGCAGTCCTCAGCAGTATAAAAAGCTGCCCTGTCCTGGCCCCATCAGTACAAAAACCTGCCCTGGCAAGTAGTTCAAGGCTACTTGCTCTCAGGAGCTTCTGGGACCCAGCCAATTGGTACCTGGGGACACTACCCCTTGTACCAGCTGGACTGCTAAAGCAGTTCTGAATGTTCCTTGCACCTTTTACCCACTGCAGCAGTCTGGCAATGAGGGCTGCTGCCTGGCTGTGACCTGCTGCGCACCTGCCAGACCCAAATGAGGCATCTGCCCCTTTGGGCCAGCTGCCAGTGGACTGGGGCTGCAGGGTTGGCCTTAGTGCAGCACTATTGCCATGTGTGACCCTGCCTAGCCATCTGGGCAGCTATCGCCCGGAAGATGTGCCAGGTGTGGTGGCCTGTTTGAACTGTCAAATATGTCCTCCTGGCTCCAACTGGTCAGGAGGTCAGCCACAGCCAGCTGAGTCCAAGATGCCAGCTCTGAGCAGGCAGGGTCCTGCCACTGGCCTCCCTAGCGGGAATTCTTGTGTTCCCTTTTGGAAAACTGAAAAATCTTTGATAAAAAATTCCCCAAGTCACTCTGTCACAAATCTCTGATAAAAAATACCCCGAAATCCATGTTCCTTCAAGATTAAAGCAAAAGACCACTATATATATATATATATATATATA